CCTTTGTATTTTCTTGGGGATTATTTTTTGTTGTCGGTAGTGTCTCCGGATGATTAATTGTCAGTAATCTGGGAAGAATAAGATGTTAAAACTAGAAAGCACTGATAAAACATAAAGTTTTTTTTTCTTTTATAAACACATAATGAAAATGAGAGACATGAAAATAAATAGACTAGCTTCACAATATAAAAGTATGCCATAAAACCTCTAAAGAAAACGAATTCCCCACTACTAGCAAACTCATTTTCTATAATACCCACTATCAGTGAGAAATCTGGTAATTTCAGTTTTTATACAGATTTTAATTAGATCAAATTGTACTTAATTGATCATGAGCAACCCTACCATAGTGCTTCATTACAGTTTTTCTGCAACTTTTCCATAATGCAACTGACAAGAAAAAAATGGCAAAAAACATTTCCTTATTAATGGTTGAATATCAATCTCAATGTGTATGCGTATGTGCGCGCACGGTGTGTGAATGAGAGTGAGAGTGTGAGTGTGAGTGTGAGTGTGTGTGTGAGTATGAGTGCGTTTCTAAGCACGCAACAACTTATTTTGTAGCACATCAGATAAAATGGCATATATACTGTACTTTTAAGGTAGTATATAGGTAAAATAAAATCAAGATAATTTTTCTAGTCTTCCCTAGGGCCCTGTACAATAAACAAGAAAGTAACGCAGGGAATTCTATAATCACCAGTCCTTGACCCTTGACACAATAACTGTATTCTAATATTCATACATTTATGATAGTGTATGATTCAATTTACGTCCGTTTTCTGTATCATCTAATATTTAGAAAACGGCAGAAATGCTGCTACACATAAGCAACCAGCCCCTGAACTCTAAAACAATACAAGGCATACGTTACTGTCCTGCTTCTATGTTTCTGGCTGAAGGAGTGTTTGGCTAGGGTGTCTATCCCTACCGCCCAATGAATGTCTTCTCAGTTCATCATTATGCTCATGTTAAGCTGATAAGAAGAAACAAACTTTATAGACCTTAAAGAGGTCGTCATCAGATAGTATCCAAAGAAAATGAGTTTGGACTGACCCTGAGAAAATGATTATACACTCAAATTAAATATTTACCTATAACCACAGATATGGTTAACAAACTGAATAGATTCATTATCTAGTGATGGTGGTAGTATATATATTTTTTTATTGTGTATGTACACTCATCTGGTAATGGATGATATTTCAAGATCATTTGAAAATATAATATAAGTGAACAACTAGAATATTCTTGTAAGTAAACTGAAATACAATACCAAACGCTAAAAACAGCAGAATACTTAATAACATGCAAAATGCAATAAATCGTTATCCGCGAATTCTGTCACCACCACAGTTCTTTATCAAACTATTTTGAGGGCATTTTCCCGTTCCATATACAAAACCGTGACAGGATCACTCGAAGGCAAATTTCAGTGTACTTTGGTTTGAATATTGCAAACAAAAGTGTATTTTTATTTTGTATAATTTTCATTTTGATAATAGTAAAAATCCAATTATGTTGAGATTCTAAACATTATTACAAAGGATAATAAGACTACTGATCAGGTTTCGGCAAACTGTCTGCGGTACTAGGAGAGCCATTATTTGCCCAAATCCTGCTTATTTTCCAAAAAGTGAAAATATATAGTATGTGTATGTACTTTTGAAATTTGTTTGGTAATATTATATCCCTTTGTGCTTGCAAACATTCTTTTTTTTTCAAAATACTTGAACAAATTGAAGTTTGCGCTCTTGTATCATAAGGAGCACAAGTAAGTGAAGAGAAAATCACGGGACAGTTCCCGATGCAAGATGCAAGCACACGATAAGCATTGATGCTACCTGGTGCGATCACGCCCTTGCAGATGGGCCTCTCTTGTAAGTTATGTTCCAAGTCCATAAATAAAACGCAGCCGTAAACAGAATATTTGGCGAGAAGTATTTATCAGTTTGGTGAAATCCGATCATCGATACAGGATTCATGTCATTCCGTTATATGATTCCTCGTTTGTTAACCCGTACATTAACCGTAAGTACACAGATAGCCTTGTTAGTGTAAGCTAGAGATAATATTGTGCCGCAGAGATGTATCAGTTTGACGTTCAAATCAGGGACATCAGTTTAGACAGACCATGTTCACATATGGTCTGTCATTATCAAATACAGTCGAACCTGTCTCACAGAAATGTCAACAAAGTGTTAACAAAAGCCAAACTTTACAATCAGATAATTTCAATATGCAAAATATAATGAAATACAGATAAAGGAATCATCTCATTGGAGTATTACAATACTCCAATGAGATGATTCCTTTATCTGTATTTCATTACATTTTGCATATTGAAATTATCTGATTGTAAAGTTAAAGAGATAGTTAACCATAGTTACAGTTTAGTTTTCTTTGTTATCATCTTGCTAGTTTCTAATTTATTAGGGTTAACTATAATATTTTCGAACTGAGAACTCCTATTTATCCAGTGATTTCAGTCTGTCACTAATCCACGGCAGAATTTCTTTCAGATTTTGTTGTTAAAAAATAGTAAATCATGGACTAAATAAAACATGGTGTTCAGTAATTGTGTTTAAAAATGTATTCAATTCTAACTGGTCTGTGGCACAACCATGCCTAAAAATTAGGATCGAGAAAGAAAAAACCTTTAACTGAAATGAGATGCTCTCATAACTATCTCAGTTATTTGTCACAATAGGAAGGAAGAGCCTCAGCTTTTCAAAATCGGGAAAATGGGGCCAATAATTTGATTGGTAACATAATTACGCAGGAGGAAGAGAAGACAGTTACGGATATATTTGACTTGTCTTCTGCCAGAGCTTTTCAATTTTCATTCTCGTACTTAAACTGAAATTATTATATGTAACCCCCTCACACATTCCTCGCCCAGTGAAGGATACACTCGTCCTTGGGCTTTCAAAGTAACTGTTCAGTGGTAGTTTGGTAGTTTTTTTGTAGTAATGATTATTCGTAATGGCAAAACTTATCCATGGTAAGAAAATATGAAATCAGTAGATAGCAAACTAGAAAGTAATGTTGAAGAAGAAAGTCATGGAAAAGATGGGGTTGGAAGATAATAGGAAGAAGGTAATAAAAAGGATGATGCTGAAGAACAAGGTAATGCAAAAGATGGTAAATATTAGGAAGAAGGTGATATAAAAATATGATAAAAGAAGACAGTAATAAAAATGGCAATATGAAGGAGTAGAATTCAGAAGGTGTCTATTTTCCCCTTCAACCCATTGCGCTGAGAAATGTGAATTGTTTTAATATTTTCATTCAGTATATAACAAAGCAGTTTATATCATAATATTCGCTCACTAACAGCGATGACAAGAGGAAAGTTGTATTATCATGACCATCATTATACGTAAACGTTATTTATTATTGTCAATTTTCAGTTATTTCTATTTCTGACGTTCTTATAAGGCTTTTTTGTGTTGTCATTGACTGTTATTATTGATATCATTTCTGTCAGTATCAGATTTGTTAATACACTACAATTATGATCAACACGGCATCAAGCATTATTAATTACCTAATATTAAAATCACTGTTAGCCTGATCATCTATTTCAGAGGCACATTTTACAGTTCAGTGACTATCATCATTGCCATTATAATTGTAATTATTTTGACTGTATCATTGGTAGGTAGGAGCCTCTTTATGTATTTCCGTGAATCCTAATTTTAATAAGGATTCCATTAATCAATTAAAAGTTCGATTTGGTGCTAGTTCATATGGCAGATGAAAGATGTAAAATCTCATTCCTTATTTGAAAAATTATAATGGTGATGAAAACAAATGCGGGTGAAAATAAAGACATAAATCTTATTTTTTTTTTCATATACAAGTTCATATAAGGTTATTGTTGAATACGTAGTTTTGAAGAATCACAACAATCGCACTGTGTATAAGTGAAACGAGTACAGATATACATTCTATTTCTAAGATCGTGCAATATTAAAATAATAATAATCAGCACATGCGAAGCTGTTCAAATACACATTTATTTATGAAATTTATAACAATATGATGGGCAAGAGAAAAATTGAGATTCCCTAAATAACTAGGATATAATACCAGACTAGACGCTGGACGTAATGAATGTGACGATAAAAAGTATATCAGGATACAGCGCCAAATGCTTCATGCTAAAGAAAGGCAGTCAAACTATGAATTGCTGCTGATTCTGCATGTGTGAACCTTCATACTAAAAGTATTATTACTATCATAATCTGTAAACCTTATATAAAACAGCATCAATCTAAAATAAATCATAGAACAACTATAAACGAAATTATATCCTGCTAAAGATTCGGTCTTGCAAAACGGAAAAAAACATGTACTCACGAGCTCACATACAAACAAACATGAATGCGTTATATGCATATACACTTAAACGTGTATATATGTATAAAATGACGCATGGACTAAGGCAAGTTAAGAAATAAAGTAAATATAAATGCATCCATATTACTTTACCTAGGTGTTACTTTGGTAGACTAAGACTAAACGCGCACCCGCCCACCGTCACCATGTGTAAAAGACATAGGGACCACAACTGAATAAAGCGACATAATATCCACATAAAAGCTCTGCTTCACCTTCATTATCCTCACTAACTGGGAGGCCACCGTGCCAATTTAAGAAACTAGTAGATCTTAATATTATCCCATACGTGTGATTATTCACCTGAATGATCCGTGTCAAACTGGAGATTGAGTCAGCTTTGCCCAGCAGGTTTTCAGATTAACGTCCTCCCTGTCAGGCTTCGTTGACGGCTCCTGTGCAAGAGAACGGAGCGCAAGACCAGTGATCATTTTCCGGCATCGGCCTCTGTGGTTGGCCGAATACGACGCCCTTCTTAATCTGTAGACTAGAAATTCCGAAGCGATTACTGAATTCATTGTGCAATAGATACAATTATCAGCCTTTACGCAATGATCAATAGTTCACACTGCTTCGAACGTAGAATCGTGTGCTTT